CATCTGTTGAGTGGACATCAACAGAGACCATGACTCAGAGACCAAAGGGAACCTCAGTCCACACACAGCCACCTGCTGCCAGGTTAGCTGCTCTTCTTGGTAACCAGGCTAACAGTGTTCAAGAGAGACACAGACTGAACAGCCTGTTATCCAACAGATCCAGAAAGAGGTGTGTCTGTTGGTAGTAGTCCTTACCTCCTCCAGGGGCAGAGCACATTGCTGCACAATGTAGTCAACCATCACCTCACCTCCAGGCTGCTCCAGATAGCCATGGTGGGCCATAGCACTTATCACCTGCACCACAGCTCGTTTCACCTGCCCAGAAGCAAGAGAAGGTCAGGAAGGGGCACAGGGAGCATACCTGGTGCATCGGTATGTGGCTCCATTTGTATCAGTGCCCACACCCATATGTACCTCCTCCACCCCTGTACCTACAAAGGCCCCTGCATCTGGACTCACAGACACACTGGGATGTACAGCTGCACTCACAGCCATCCCCACACCTGCTGCAGTGCCTAGCACACCACTTCATGGAAGCTTGCTCAGCTCTCGGCTAGTCTTTTAGCCACCTTGTGATGTGTGCAGGTCTGCAAAGGAAGGCCTCTTTCCTGCTATCCCACATACATCCTTGCCCTCCTCTGAGTCCTTCAGAAGTCACCTTATCTCACCAATTGCCCTCCTTCGTGCACTTTTACCAAGCTTCATCCTCAGGTCTATGAAAACAGCTGTGCTAAAGATCTGCTCCAAACCACCCTGCCCTCTGGCTTTACCTCCTCACCCTACGGCATGTAACAGACCTAGCCTATCTGTATTGCTCATCTGGCCTGAAGCTATAGGACAGGCTCCTTCAGGGCAGGCTTCTCTTGTGTGACACCCATACTTCCTGTGCTATGCTATTGACCTGGATGTTTGGTTCTTCCCCCAGGCAATGTTTCTCAGACCTTTAACTATCACCCAAGCATTCCTAGTTCTAAGTCTACTGGGTCAGCCCAATAGCCAAAATCACTGACATTTACTCAGAGCCAGTGCACCCTACAAGGCCCCCACTCTCAGGGGCCTTCAAATCCATGAGAATGTTTTTGCTTCCTAGAATGTCAGGTCAAATACAGGTGATCCAAGGAGGCCTCCTGAGATTATTGTCTTTTTTTTTTTTTTTTCCCGAGACAGGGTTTCTCTGTGGCTTTGGAGGCTGTCCTGGAACTAGCTCTTGTAGACCAGGCTGGTCTTGAACTCAGAGATCCACCTGCCTCTGCCTCCCGAGTGCTGGGATTAAAGGCGTGCGCCACCACCGCCCCGCCTACTGTCTATTGTTATCCCCATGTCACATTCATCTGATGTGGCATCATGGGAACAGGGTGGGTCTGGGTTGGTAGCCAACTGCCCAGGCTGAGTTTATGTTAGAAGCTTCTGGAGAGTATGATACACAGGAGATCCCAGAAGTAACAAAACGCTGCAGTTGCTCTCAGGGAGGGCTAGGGTCCTGCTGCCTGCCACTGAGCAAGATGGCCCTGCACAAGACAATAGCGCTCAGAGGGCTGGAAAAGATCTACCTTGCCCAAAGAGGAATCTGACCTGTTTCCTAGGCTCCTGGGAACCCCTAAGATATCGCACTTGGTGAAGTCTCATGATCTGGGACCAGGGTCATCTCCCACAGGTAGAAGCTTGCAAGCCACATGGTATCAGTCCTGTTTCCAGAGGGGCTTGAGGCTGGGTGTAGCCATACAGATAGCTCAGCACATCCACCTAACAGGGCTAAAGGCTCAGGACTCTAAGACTCAGGAATGACCGTAGTTGGCAATACTCCTATGTGTGGCCACTGAAAGCAATGGGAAGCTGCAGGTTTGGGCACTCCAGAACTCTGTTCCAAGAGCTCTTTCCCAGCTGATTTTTGGTTTTGAGATAAGGTCTAATTATGTAGCCTGGGACGGGCATGAGCTCCTAGACTCCCAAGTGCTAAGATGACATTTGGGAGCTACCACACCCATCTTCCCAGCCGATTTAAACAATCCCTGTAGTAAGTGGTGAGTGTACCAGCTACCTGAGTTCTCTGAGTCCTTCTAGTGAACAGTAAATCTCAGTCAGGGTGGTGCTTGAGCCCTCTGGGCCTACAACAGGTCCTAACCCTGAGGTGGCTTGGGGTTACTAACAATTCACTAACAATGTGGACAGGTAGCCTGTTGCTGGGCGGTGGTGGTACACTCAGGAGGCAGAGGCAGGTGGATCTGTGTGAGTTCAAGGCCAGCCTGGTCTATAGAGCTAGTTCTAGGACATGAGCCACAGAGCTACACAGAGAAACCCTGTCTCAAAAAACAAAAACAAAAGGTAGCCTGTGTGGTAGAATATTATCTTAAGGTGTGTGACATTTGTTTATGCTGCATTTATTTAACTCTGTGAAGCTGTGGTTCTTTGCCTGTCTAAAACACCTGATGGTCCTAATAACAAGCTGAATGGCCAATAGCGAGGCAGGAGCAAGAATAGGCGGGGCTGGCAGGCAGAGTATAAATAGAGCAAGAGAGTAAGGCGAGGAGGATGTCAAGGGCCAGCCACCTAGCTACACAGCAAGGCCCAAAGTAAGAAGGAAAAAAAGGTATACAGGAATAGAAAAGGAAAATCCCAGAGACAAAAGGGTTAATTTATGTTAAGAAAAGCTGGAAGAAACAAACCAAGGTAAGGCCAGACATTTATAACTAAGAATAAGACTGGGTGTGATTTACTTGGGAGCTGGGTGGTGGGCCCCACAAAAGAACACAGAAAGCCAAAAGAGTAAAACACCTTACTACAATACAAGTCTGTTCACACTACATGTGTACGTCTCTCTGCTTGCTTGCACCCAGGGACTGCTGGGATGGAAACTTCAGTGTTCTGGCTACTCTTCTGTTGACTGCTTATGATGAGCCAAACTAACTGATCTATTCCAACAATGGCCAAGCTAACCTGTCCACTTTACCTTATTGTTGGTGTCCAGAAGAGGGAGTCTCATGGATGAAAGGATAAAGGGCTTCTTAATCTCCATTTGAGCAGCTGCAATAAACAAGATGGCTTAGTCCCTACCAGCTGAGACCAGTCATCCTACCCACATCGGCCTCAGGGGGCCTGGCTTCACTTGGTTCTTGTGTGGAAGGAGGAAATGGCATAAATCCATTTCTCTGAAGGAGAAAAAAATCTGCAAATAATATTTTACCAATTAAAAAGTTAAAAGGGGCCAGGAGGTGGTGGCGACCACCTTTAATCCCAACACTGGGGGGGGGGGGCAATCGGATCTCTGTGGGTTCGAGGCCAGCCTGGTCTACAGAGTTCCAGGACAGCCAGGGCTATTACACTGAGAAACCCAGTCTCGAAAAACCAAAAAAAAAAAAAAAAAAGTTAAAAGGTATTTTTAATTCTCTTTGTGCTTGAAGAACTATGCTCTAGAATACTGTGGCACTGAAATGCAGTGTACTGCAAATTCTGCAAGGCCAGGGGAAGTGTAGGGTAGACCACAGCAGATCCAAGGAATGAAGGAGATGCCACTGTTAACCAGGAGTCTTAGGCAAAGACATCGGAGACATCCGTCCTGGCTTTTACGCACTGCTAAATGGTGTCCCACTCTGACAGTACTCAGTTCTCTGTGTGTGAATATAAGAAAAGCTCTTTGTATTATTGCATGTGTGCTTGCTCTCCCTACCAAATATACTTGCCTTGTCAAATGTAGCCAGCTTTTAAGATGGTCACCTTTGCAAAGAATTGTTCTCTAACTCATTCAAAAGAAGCCATCATGAAAGCACAATACCAGTAAGAGGTGTGGGGCGGGGGCTGTGGGTGCTCAAACCAGCACCTAAGGGACAGAATACCGGAGCCACTAGGAACAGAATTCAAAGGGCTCCACCTTCTGCTCAGATTGTGTTTTCTGTAAATCCCACCCTCTTTTCTATAAAATATTAAATTACAGTGGCTTACAGTTGGACAGACACTCAAGGTTCATTTTTCAATCTCTAGCCTGAGCAAACGATGATGATGATGATGATGATGATGATGATGATGATGATGATGAATTTAAAGGGGGTGGGGGTGCTGGAGGGATGGCTCAGTGGTTAAGAGCGTGTGCTGTTCTTCCAGAGGATCTGAGTTCAGTTCCCAACACCTACATCAGGTGGCTCACAGTCACCTCCAGGGAAATCTGACACTTCTGGTCTCTGTGGGTATGTACACTCATATGCACATATCCACAGGCAGACTTACATATATATAATTAAAAATAATAAAAAGAAGCCGGCGGTGGTGGTGCACACCTTTAATCCCAGCACGTAGAGGCAGAGCTCTATGAATTTGAGGACAGATGGTCTATAAAGCGAGTGCCAGGACAGCCAGTGCTACAAAGATACCCTGTCTTGAAAAACTAATAATAATAATAACAATACAATTTAAAAGAAAAAACAAAGGTGGGATGGGGCAGAAAGCTCAGTTCTTGTCATCAAGACTGCCAAGATCCATCCCTGGAACCAATGTGGCAGGAGAGAATCAGTGCTTGCAAATTGTTCTCTGAAGTCTACTCCCTCTTCACGGCACTCACACCCACAATAAACACGTAAATAAATACATGAAATTTAAACATATCTTTAAAAAGCTAAGCAATTGGCAGTAGAGAGTTAACATCTGATGTGTCAGGTCTTGGGTAGCTGGGCACCTCTCCCATGTTCCAGGTGACTGCTGCTGTTGGTCTGAGGCTCCTTCTTGCTGAGAATCAGCAACAACCTTTCATGTTCTAATACTTTGTTTCCTCCTCCTCCTCCTCCTCCTTCTCCTCCTTTTTTTTTTGTTTGTTTGTTTGTTTGTTTGTTTGTTTGAGACAGGGTTTCTCTGTGTAGCCTGTCTGTCCTGGAACTGACTCTGTAGACCAGGGTGGCCTTGAACTCACAGAGATACACCTGCCTCTGCCTCCCAAATGCTAGAAATAAAGGCATGTGCCACTACTGCCTGGCTTAACTCCTAGTACTTAAAAGAAGATTCAAGATGGCCATTAAGTGCTCAATTCAGCAGCAGCACATAAACTGAGACTGTGACAATGCATGGAAGACTGGCACAGCCCTTGTGCAATGATGACATCAAAATCTGTGAAGCATTTTCATTTTTATGGAGTGGATTTCACTTTTTATGATAAATCTTAAATGGATATTATGAAGTAGTTAGGGTACATGCCTGTAACCCTAACAGGAGGAGGCAAGAGGATCACAAGCTCCAGGCTAGCTGAGGAAGCTGACTTAAGAAGCTAGTGAGTTCAAGGCCAGTCTAGGCTATAGAGCAAGACTCTGTCTCAAGCTGGAGAGATGGCTCAGAGGTTAAGAGCACTGGATCCTCTTCCAAAGGACCCAGATTCAATTCCCAGCACCCACATGGCAGCTCACAACTGTCTGTAACTCCAGTTCCAGGGGATCAGACATCCTTACATCAATGCACATAAAATAAAATTAAATAAAGTATTTAAAAAAAAAAAGACTCTGTCTCAAAGAAAGGGAGATGGCTCAGCAGTTAAGAGCGCTTACTGCTCTTGTAGAGGACCTGGGCTCAGTTCCCAGAACTTACATCAGACAGCACATCTGTAACTCCAATAAAGCATCAATTGCCTTCCAACCTCCATGGGCACCTGCACATGAACTCATGTAGGCACATGTAATACATATAATAAACAAAATAATCACTCTTTTTTTTAAAAGGAAGGAAAACAGGGAAGAAAAATGAGGGTACAATGCAGGTAACACACTGCTTGTGACAACATTCTCATTACACAGACAGTGCAGTCCAGTAAGAAAGATGTCATCCTGATCCCAATTTCACAAGCCAGGAGCCTGCACCCAGAGGCTCACGGCCCTCAGAACACTAGCTCCCAGAGTAGCGAAAGGGAGATCCCAAAACTGAGGGCAGAGGCCTCAAAGGAAACATGGCCTTGTCCCCAGTACCCCAGCCCCACCCCCACCTCTAAAATACTCCTTGAGCCCATGCCCTACTCCCCTGGAGCCACCACACCAATCCTGGTAAGGTCTTGGTGGTAAAAACAGAAACCGCAGAAAAACAACATGTGTGCTACAAAAGCTCAGACAATAGAAATTCTAAGTCTGACCTGAAGCAAATGTTTAGAAGATGCTGAAGAATGCTCATGACCTTAAAACTGAGGAAGGAAGAAAAGATGGTAATACCATGAAACTTCTATGAATAGAGACTGAAGACAGTCACCAGGAAGTGGGCTGCAGGAAGGAACACTTCACAGAGGGTAGTGGTGACAGCCACATGGTGGCTGTTCTCAACATCACTGAATAATTTTTTTTAAGATTTATTTATTTATTATGTATACAGTGTTCTGTCTGCACATCTCTCTGCCTGCCATAAGAGGGCACCAGATCTCATTACGGATGGTTGTGAGCCACCATGTGGTTCCTGGGAATTGAACTCAGGACCGGAGCCATCTCTCCAGCCCCACAACACCACTGAATTATACCATTGTATATTATGTCATTTTAGAACAAATAAGAATAAAACCAGGGCTAGATATGTAGCTAAGCAGGCAGGGTATTTGCCTATCAGGCATGGAGCTCTAAGTTGCATCCCCAACACTGAATAAGAACAAGTATGGGAGTGGGGTGTTGGTGGCACACACCTTTAATGCCAGCACTCGGAAGCAGAGGCAGGCGGATCTCTGTGAGTTCGAGACCAGCTTGGTCTACAAGAGCTAGTTCCAGGACAGCCTCCAGAGCTACTGAGAAATCCTGTCTTGAACCCTGCCCCAAAAAAGAACAAATATGGGTGAACACCCGCAATTCCCGCTCTGGGGAGGCAGAGTGGGAGGATGGTCACTCTCAGGTATATAACAAATTCAAGGCCAGACTGGGATATCTGACATCCTGTCTTTAAAACAAACAAACAAGCAAATGAAAAAAAAAAAAAAAAAAAAAAAAAAAAAAACTATGAATGGTCAGCTGAGCATAGTGGTACACACCTTTAATCCCAGTACTTGGGGGGCGGGGGGCGGGTTGGGGAGAAGGTGGATCTCTGAGTTCGAGGCCGGCCTGGTCTACAGAGTAAGTTCTGGGACAGTCAGCGCTACACAAAGAAACCCTGTCTCAAGAAAACAAAAATAAAAACAAAACAAAAAAAAACAAAACAAAACAAAAAACAAAAAAAAACAAAAAAAAAAAACAAGGGCTGGACAGATGGTTCAGGGTTAAGAGCACTGGCTGC